ACACGAACTCAATCTTGTAGTAAAAGTAAATAAACCAAAGAAGCCGTGCATTAGGATCTCATGACCTCATCTAAAATTAAATAAGCACTCATAATTTATTATGCCCATTATGGCAGTATCATAACACTGTTATTATTATCTATTAAACATTATACAACTCCCGATCCTTGACCTAGAATATTCACGCTTGTTTCCTATAACGGGACTAAGCACATAGTACCTAACTACTATGTGATCAGTTATGTATTTAGCGATCTAATAAGTACTAATCTATAAGTAAGAACAAGTAAAATATACAATTAAAGTGTCTGTTTGTTATGTTAAAATAACAGCTCTTTATTCAATAAATGCTTGAGAAATTTCATACATAAAAATATTCTGATGAAAAATCAATCAGAAATGTTTTTATTTTGTTTTTCTTTCTGTTTGTTTCAACTTATCTCCAGAATGGCTGGAGTTTGAAGGAATTGATACTGTAGCTGATATTTAAGGAACATTTCTGATATGTAACATGTTAGGAAACTTTGAAAAAATAACTTGGATTCTGTGCAAAAAATAAAATCCGTGAAGGAGAGGCGAAGCCGGGGTCACAAGCTAGTATCATCAGTCTGCCTAATCAAGACAAAACATCGTAATCACTTTTGGATATTCAGTCATGAATCAATCAAAGCATATCCAATTAAATTGATCGTTTATCTTGAATCAAACTCGTCCAAAGTGCCTATGTTAATAAAAATCAAAACACGCAATAAGATAAATAATAATAAATTTCAATTTACCTGCCTGTACGCAATTTGTGCTTAAATTAATGAAAATAAATTAATATACAATCACTTTTATAATAATATACCTGATAAGTATTAAATTATGTATAGGAATTCAAAACAGCCAAAATGATTACAAAATCTATTTATTAACGCATCTAAATGGAAAAAGAGAGTGCACTGCCCGGGAATCGAACCCGGGTCGCAAGAATGGGAATCTTGCATGATACCACTACACCAGCAGTGCTTGCCATGAAGCGTTAAAATTACTGTACTTAAGGACTGGTAAAAATAAAATAAAAACATTTAAAATATTAATAAATACAAACAAACAAGGTGAAAAAGTACCGCTAAATAATTTTATGCAACATTCATAACAAATCTTAAAGAAAAATGCACAACTGCAGCGTAGTCCAACGCCATCTATTGGCACCTTTAGAACTAGCTGTCAGTTGATTAGCGCTGTCATGGTTTCGTCAAGCCTTGGTAAACAACTGACTGTTAACTTGATGTTTGATTAGCTTCTGTGTAGATGGCGCTTATAACTTGATCCTTTGAATACAAATTTTAGGCTCTTTATAAAAATGCAATTTCAGTAAGCATCTATTTGTATCTTTGATTAAATAATTTATAATAAAGTTATAAATTTATTATCTTGTGTGTGTATATTTTTTTTATTTGGAAATTGAAATTAAAAAATATGAATCTGCCGTTCCTTAAAATTTGCCGCCCTAGGCTTTAGCCTACTCAGCCTGCTGGTTAATCCGCCACTAAGTAGTTATTTTTTGTTAAATGTAAAAAATTTGGGCCTATGGGCCTCATAAGAAGGCTCAAGGTCACCCAAAGGGCGATGGAGCGGGCTATGCTCGGAGTCTCCCTGCGTGATCGAATCAGAAATGAGGAGATCCGCAGCAGAACCAAAGTAACCGACATAGCTCGCAGAATTGCTAAAATCAAGTGGCAGTGGGCGGGGCACATAGCTCGTAGAGACGATGGCCGTTGGGGCAGGAAAGTTCTCGAGTGGCGACCACGGGCTGGAAGACGTAGCGTGGGCAGGCCTCCTACTAGGTGGACCGACGATCTGGTAAAGGTCGCGGGAAGAGCCTGGATGCAGGCAGTGCAGGACCGTTCATTGTGGAAAACCTTGGGGGAGGCCTTTGTCCAGCAGTGGACGTCATTTGGCTGAAACGACGAAAAAATTTTGTTAAAAAAATAACTACTCAGTGAACGTGTTAAGTGGGTTTAATAACATAACGCGGACGACGTAGTTCGAACTACCATCGAATCGGCAGTCCATCACTGACACTCTTGGAATTATTTTCGCCTTCGAAGTGTGTAAAGCCTTAAGTAAAACTATTTATCATTGTCGCAGGTATCTGGGCGGTGATCAACACCGCTGGCAGCAGCGGGCGTGGAGGCGCTGCGTGCTGGGAGGGCGCCCTCAGAGGGAACGTGCTCGGCGCCCTGCGGGTTGCCAGGACCTTCTCGCCTCTGCTGGCTGCAGCCGCCGCCGACCACCCACACGCTGGCCGACTGTTTTACATCGGTAAGTACACATCTTTATAAAACAATACCAAGTTTGGTTACGCAACAACAGCGGGCGCGGCGGGGCGGCGTACTGCGAGGGCGCCCTTAGAGGGAACGTGCTCGGAGCACTGCGAGTTGCAAGGACTTTCTCGCCTCTGCTGGCTGCAGCTGCCGCCGACCACCCTCACGCTGGCCGACTGTTTTACATCGGTTAGTACCTTCTTCATCATCACAGGTCGTTTAGTATCCACTGCAGACGGGCGACCCTCTTAATTTACACAGGCAATTAGAGGATTTGGTCTACACTCCTTACGCTGGACACAAAACTATCCCTAAGCTATTCCATTGAACTACTTATCCCTAGTGCCATTGTACCACGGGTAAACACTGGGCTAAACGGGTTAGAGTCAATCTAGCCCTGTAATAAGCTTTAAGTTTAGGAATTCACAGCTAGATATAAGTACGCCTTCCAGAAGGTACGCCAGCACCAAAATCAGGGCATTGGTTAGGGCCTTAGGGGCAAGATTTAAATCAACCTTATGGCCCGAAAAAACTATTTTGTGCTTTCTAGGGAGGGTAATAGGTACTTTAAAAATTTCAAACGGTATCTAAGAGGATTCAAACTCAAAGGCTAGGACTATCTTTAATAAGAAATCCGAACTAAATTCCAGGACTAACATCAGACACAGCCTGCGACAGCTTATCCCGCGTCGAAGCAGGCGACTCGGGCGAGACGAGCGCGGGCGCGGCGGCAGTGCGGTGGGGCACCTGGGGCGCTGCGCGTGCATTGCGCGCGTCCCTGCGCGCACGTCGCTTGCACGTCGTGCTGCTGCACGCGCCCGACTTGTCGGCCGCTGAGATTTACGCGCCGCCTGTACAGCTGGTAGCACCGAGTCAGCCAGCGAGGTTAGTTATTGAGTATTCGTTGAATTAAAAAACGTTCCATGCTGGACAAAGGCCTTATCCCCAAGGATTTTTACAACGACCGGCGTGCCTCTCGCACTTTCACTAGATCGACGGTCTATTGAGTTACTTGGAAATCTTCAAGGGAAGATCAACCTCGTGGTTGGCTGGAATTCGATAATAAGACCAATCACAAACATGCATCATCAATTCTTAAACCAAATACGGACTTAAAATAGGTTTTGAAAACTACCTAATACAGCCATACAAGCTTCCAAAACATTAGTAGAGACCTATCAATTGCAGACTACTCCCTTACCTGTAACCTTAAAGAAATAGCTAGGTAGGTATCTAACAAAATAATAACATATCACTCTATTATTCCAGCCGGCCAGAAACTCCAAGCTCAGACGTGAGCACAACTACAGCCAGTTGCGCCGTGACGATGCCCGGCGAAGCAGCAGAATACAGCGCTAAGGTCCTTCCCACCAGCGCCCTGAAGGTTCTGGAAGACGCCCTCACCACCCCCGCACCCCGGGACTCATACTATCTTAAGATGAAACACGACTCGTGGTTCACTAGGATGCCATCTCTGAGAGTGGCATGAGAATGCAATCAGACCGATGTATATCCCTTGAGGAACTTCGTAATCTTCTTTCGCGTGACGTGAAAAGAACTGTTTCAGTGATTGACTATGAAAATGGAGTAAACAGATTCTAGCTGATTTCCAAACCCATAAATCGACGTAATACTTTCATCATCATTTTGTAATGGTTTCCTTATTGGACAGGATTAAGCATTTAACATGTTATTTATCAGTCGCAAAGATATTCATATAGAAAGGAAGAAGGGATCATTTCATAGATAGCAAAAGCTATAATAACAACATCTTTTTAATAACTTAGTGACAATAGACCCTGTAATCATTCAAATTACAAACTGCTTGTCTTATTTGATCATCAGCTCTCCTCTTGTGAGATTAGGAAGCTGGGTATCAAATGGGTGATCTAAATTAAAATAATGAAGCACATAATGATACTAGGTTGTGTGAAAATTTTACGTGTATACAATTATATTACGCATCATATTATAATCACATTTTCTATGCTTTACACCTTAAGTTGGTAATAAGTTTTGACGACCTGCTAATCCCCATTATATCGAAGGTTCGGGATAGCAGATGTGGTGCCAAGCTTTGGGACTTTACTTACTCGACAATACGTTATGTTTTAGTATAAGCAACACGGAGATGATGCTTATGGGGTACTTATGAGATTTAATTTGTACGATGGTGATGGATTCTCGCCTCCTATCACACTGCGAATATTCGCAACCAAAAGTCATAGTATTGTGCAACTTTTGCTTGTGTTCGTGAGATTTGTATATAGCATGTTGAACAAGCTCACAATAGTGCCAATTATTGAACTTTTGTATGTGTTTTTAATAAATTATGAAACTGTAATCTGCAATTATATTCGTTAACATAATCCAGTGAAGCCAGTAGCTTGATTTCGGTTTCGTAATAGATTTTAGATTTTGACGTGTTCAGGACATGAACAATGGTATGATTATGTAAATAATTTCTTTGTTGTATAATAAAATATCTAAAATATTTCGAGCTTTTATTTTACTTATAAAATCATACGTTACTTTGCCCGTGGTCCTACTGCTCACTGCTCTACTGGATATCACGGGTAAGTTTTCCGGCGCTTACTGTCCAAAACAATACCACACATTTATCCCCGTCAATTTACCGGATAGGACAAGCAGTAGGGCCACGAAGATACTGACATCTTCCAAACAAACTTAGCACACCGGTTCTTTAACTTTAAAGTTGTCAAAACTTTGCCAAACAAAGAAGTTATCAGCACACAACAGTAGACCACCATATCCTGAAGAATCATCAGGCAATCCCGTGCACACCCAGTACTGGTCTTTACCAGATCTCCCGGAGCTTTGCCAGTAAGCTGCAGTGCTCACAGCAAAAGTATTCCGATCTCGTCCCTTATTGATGTAGTGGACGTATTCCACCGACTTCATGGATATTTGATCAATGATTCGGACACTAAAATAAATGAATATTATGTCAGTTAGCTCATCTACAACCCAGTCGAGTTAACTGCACAACTGGCAGCCGTGACGTCACATCGTCGCGACACTCTGACTCTAATAGCATGGGGTGGGGAGATGTGCGGGTAAATGGTAGGGATAGTCGCATTCCAACGAGGTGCGTAGTTTAGCTCATTGGGTTGTTTCAATGTTCTAGGCTTAATTATTTGACTATTTGTAAATTACCTGAAGTTATTAGAACAATATGGTTTTTGGTGATCGTTATGACCATACACATCTAAAACCAAGTCCATGCTTTTGGCGAATGCAGTGTAAAGACACTTCTTGTCTCCTGGTTTACGTATCAACACTTTAGCTCGCAGTGTTCTGTCTTTCGTAATGAAATCCAAAGACTTTTTCTTTGATCTGAAAAAAATGCAGGCCTACTTATTAGAAACAATACTTAAACTTTACATAATTGATTAAAAAAAATTGTTTAAACGTTTTTTGTAAGGTAAGGCTATGCGCGCACGGATGACTTTTTGTCACTGAAGAGTATATTTTACACTTTTATAGCGAGAAAAAGAGATAAAATATAACGTCTATAAAAAAAATAAAAAGTAATGTTGCAAGTAGGCTTTTAAAAAACAATTTTACATGTAGTCCTCATTCTTATCTATGGAAAAACATTCTTTATGGCGATTATCACTAGTCACCCGTGCGCGCACTTTTAAGTCTATGATAATTTAATTACGACAAAACAGGGACAAAACTTAAGTTTTTCCTGTAAGAAGTGTATAAAAGAAGTGATTAGGTACTTAATGATATACAAGTGTATAAAAGAAATAGGTAACTGTGAGTTTGAGTGCAAATAAAGTCAAGTGAAGTGCGAAGTGAAGTGTGCGTGTGGTGTGAAGCTGTTTGCAGATGGAGAGAACAAAAAGGTACGTAAAATCACTATACCCTAATATGACACATCGATATAATTTAAACTACATACCCTTTTGGCTTAATAAAACCAGTATACTCCAGAAAGTTCCAGTCAGGTAGATGAGCGCGCATAAGTTTAGGCACTTGGATGCGAGTGAACCGTGGTGAGATTTCCTTGAGGGAGATGGCCAACTGGTTCAGGGTGGGAAGGTCTACGGAGAGGCACATCAGTAGGTGTCCGTTGGCCATTTCTCTTTCGGGGAATGACGGGTAGTTTTCTGCAAGAAGTAATACACATTTTTTTATCCTCAACAAAGAAGCTCTGGCTTGCATTTGTGATGTGACTTAATGGAAATATTAGATCAGACGATCAGGCCAAAACAGAAACTGCTATGGGCTTTAAACACTTGAGGAACTGGAACTCTGCTAATCTTACTTAAATTAGAAACAAAAAATGCCCAAACATAATAATCCTACCTATTTTTAAAACCTTTGGGCTCTCTCACCATGTAAAATCTCTAGATAACAGCTATGCTAGGTATGTTAACAGTTTGACCAAATAATGCTACTAACTTGTAAAATTCACGAGACCCGGCACCGTATGGCCTATCCATACCCCGCCGTGCTCATCCGCCATTAATATGCCCATCGAGGGGTAGTTGAGATTGCTCTTCTCTTCGTAAGCGACCACGGCCAGAAAATCTTTGTAACTAGGCTGAAACAGTTGTTAATAAATAGTACAAGTAAAGTGGACTTACTTGAATTATAGGTAGTTTGTAAAATAGGTTCATAAGACTAATGGGTTTTTGGGATCAGCTAGTCCAAGTTGCCCCTTGAGGTATCGTCTCAGGGAGCAACTGGGAATATAGAAAAAATAACGATTCATTTGCTGCCTCGGACATGGCTCCCTTAGGGGGCAACTAACTACATATTATTATTAGGAATAACCGTTTGGGATTTTAGGACGATACTCAAAAGTAATGATTTTTAATAAGTTATTTCTTTTCCCAAACCAACATGACACTTTTATCAAATAAGCACTGCTTCACTATGGAGTATGCCAGAGCTGAGAAGAAGCAGCACAAGAACCTTGGACCTACTACTGTGAGCCTCTTGATTATTTTACTGGTTTTACCTGGGTAATTTCAAATCGGCACATTTTTATCTGAGAATTTTGCACCTTACGCCACGTTAGGTTTAAGGTCTAAAATCTAAGACTTTCTTTGTAAAAGCGTGAACAGTTTACCCTGAACATAGGCGCTAAAGTATGCTGCAGCATAGAATTAGGTGCGATGTGACGACCCGAGTGCATCCAACGCTCAGTCTTGTCCGAGGAGATGAATACGAAGTCTTTCCCCAATTCTCGCAGCGGAGTCACTTCCGTGGGGGGTTTGTAGATGTACCACCTATTGGAATTTAATTATCATAGATTTGATAAAATCAAGCACCGTTATTGATGGAGCAGTTTCATTATGAGGTCATTAATTCTCCACTACAGGAGCATAAACTTTTGTTTACCAGAGGCAAATGAGGATTTGACCTACACTCCCCAGTCTGGCTAGACTGGAAAATGGGGAGGTTTATGGTTCGTCGTGTCGTTTTGTTTTCACCTTTTACGACATCTACGGGAAGACAGGAAGTGGACCTACTTACATAGTTTCCAAATCTTTGTAAGAGATACTATCCCATACTATTTTTGTAAGAAATGCTACTTTACATATTTAGTAAAAAATCTTTATGTAAATGCATTGAAGTAACGAAAACGCAAATTGATTTCGAGCAACAAAAAACATTAGTTACCAATCCACTGGTCTGTTGTCATTATCTCTACAGTGCAGATTGATATAGTACTCCCACGCATCCATGCCTTTTGAGCTAAAACTTATTTTAATAAAATACGAAAACACAAAATATTTGAACAACATTTCACATGACTCCCCGTGTCCCCGTGAAAACAATACCATGAAATATGTGTAAGAGTCGTAAATATTTTATTGGACAAATTGTGTAATAAATACACAATAGCCTAACTCTTTATGCATTTTTATTTGTTATTCTGTTTATGAAATGAAAGTCGTGTTTATTTTTTGTAAAATTTATTTTAGGCTTAGCTTATTTAAATTAGCACTATTCTAGTCTTATCATTTAGTCTAAATTACATAGTAATTAGAACATTGGTTTATCAAGAAGATAGTTGCTAAAATATGTACAAATATATCGAAGATCACATACACATTTTGACACACAAACAGTTTACATAGATGGAATAATTTAATTTAATTTTTTTGTGAGTATTACAATTGGTCATTTCATTTTTTCTTGTCATAAATAAAGGTCCTACTGTTTAAAACTAAGTTCTTATTAACTTGCCTATTTTTACTCATATCCTATGATCACAGTTTATGACCACAAATACTAAAACGACTTTGTACTAAAGTAATACAAGTTTGTGACGTGGTAACGGGCTTGTAGTTTCAACATAAACTACATAAATATTTATATCTAAGGTAATATAAAGGATGAAATTGAAATTGATCGTTGCTAGTTGCTATAAGTTCTCGAGCTTAAAAAGCAAGGAGCCTTTAAAATATTAAGGTTGTTGAGGTCTGCTTGTTTTTCCTTGCAGAAACAATTTTTTCTTACAGCATTGTAGACGGGTCAGTTTATATTATTAGCTATTTATTATACCAATCAGTTGCATGTTTGTACCGACTCAATGAGATGAGCGAAATTCCCCCATAAAATGGGTCCCGATGTGCACACCGTGCCTCCGCCACGCGATTCTTGTGGTAGCTGGAAACAAAAATAACTTTGTTTAGGCACTTGATTTTCCGATACAAGGAACGCAAATGCATATAAATGTGTATTTTTTATTCTATTTTTATTATTCCTAAATCCTAAACCAACCTTATCTTCAAGGCACAAACATAAATTATTTAAGATTTCATCTAAGATATGGAACTCAATGAGCTACATTGAAAAATAACATTATGATATCTCTACATTTTCTAATAGTTCAGTACCCTGCTGACCTATGAAGGGCTTCCTATTTAGAATAAACAAGGGAAAAGACTGTTTCCACTGCTTCTTAACTTCTGTGTCTTCAGACTAACTAGCCAGGCGACAACGTACACAAAATGGGTGGTAAAGCCCGGTCTGCAAACACGTAGAATTTTGTCCAATGACCCCCAAGCTACCCATCCTTATCCCTCGCGCGTAATTATATTGCAGTCGCGACTGTGCGACGGGCGCCCGCAGTGAGTGTGCGAGCGCGACAGCAACATAATTAGACGCGAGCGATAAGGATGGGTAGCTTGGGGTCATTGGACAAAATTCTACGTGCTCGCAGACCAGACTATAGACGTCTAAAGAGAATAGTCTCCCTCCCAGCTGACTGTCTGATGATGATGATGGATGATCAGTGAAATGAACTAGTTTGATGATGATAAATACTACTATTTCAGTAAGTAAGTAAGTAAGCATTTATTTGCTGCACACAAAGTCACATACATAGTTCGACAAAATAACATAATACAATATTTAACATGCACATTCAAAAATAAAATAAATAACAATGAGAAATGAAATAATGTGAGCAGAGTTGCGGCAGCAAAAGGTCTCCGTCTCAGCATGTGTCACAAGCTAATGCCTGGACGCTGATTTTCAGACGGCGGCCGACGAAAGTGGAGAGCGGCGGTAATCGCCGCAGCAATTCGCAAGGGCATTAAAACACAAATGATAAAGAAAAATTAAATAAATAAAAAGTGAAAATTAGTTTAATGTCAAAATGATATATTAAATTATGTAAATTAGATGTCAGGAATAGGATTAGCAGGTCAGTATTATAAATAATGTCAAATTAGAGGGGTCGACTACACCTGGCCATTAGAGATTTTTTGGAATGCCAGTATGTGCTTTTTAAGTTTACTTTTAAAAGTAAACTTGGTTATAGTTTGCCTAATGGGTGGTGGAAGGTTATTCCAGCACTTCGTAGCCAGGTACCTAAAACTTCCTCTAAAAGCAGCAGTTTTGTGCTGTGGTATGGAGAGCCTCCAAGATCTACCACGAGTGTTATAAACTGAGTCCGAGTGTTTCCAATTAAGCTTCCCAAAAAGATATTCAGGAGCCCCGCTGTTCACAACTCCAAAAAGCAAACAGGCAAAGTGCAGGTCGCGTCGGGATTTCATATTGAGCAAGTTGCCGCATTTCACTTACCGCTCTATTAATATCTCCGACGCAGACCCAGTAATCTGCCACCTTCGTGTCTTGGCTGTTGTGCATCTTATGCGCGACCGCCACCGCCCACTTCGAGTGGTCGTTGTGGGAGGTAAACGACATCTTTGCGATCGGGAACTTTAGCCGCTCGATGTTGCGTACTCTGGAATAGGAATAAAATTGTATATCAATAATGGAAATTAGGAGTAATCGAAAAAAAAATCCTTCTCAAGCTGCAGACACTGCTAAGAAATTGATCTTTATCGGTCCGATTCCTGTTGTTCTGGCCAATCTTATAATATAACTTTTCATGTTCTTTTATTCAAAAGCTATCTAAATATCGTTGAACTCGAAAGACCGACAACCTCAAATGGTCCCTCGTTATTTAATGTAGATGAAAGAAGCGAGAAAACATGATTTGTCATGTGGCGGGCGTGCAAGAGGTCCTATATTGTTCTTAGCCATTTATTTCCAAAAGCTGCCACAATCCTATCCTAGATCTCAATGGATCGAGGACCTCACAAGGGCCATCAATATTTCAAATGTAGAACGACATCTTTAGTACCTAACGCTCCTCGGAGGCTAAATTCAGCAGTAGATTGCCATTGGCTGAAACTAAGATCTAAATGGAATAAAATACAACTTACTGGAAGTTTCTACTGCACTCCGAGTCCAGAGTGCCAGGGCCGTTGGTCCACGACTCCACAAGCAGGTCTGACTGCAAGACTTCAGCCACAAGCCCGCTGTAAACATTGTTGAACATGGCGCTCTTGGCATACCTCCAGCAGTGGACTGCCATCAGCTGAAATGGTGATCTAATACAATGCAACTTACTGGAAGTTTCTACTGCACTCCGAGTCCAGAGTTCCAGGGCCGTTGGTCCACGACTCCACAAGAAGGTCTGACTGCAAGACTTCGGCCACGAGCCCGCTGTACAGATCGTCGTTGAACATGGCGCTCTTGGCGAACGAGAGAAACTTGCGCCCGACCAGGGTCTCGAAGCTTTCTATGTGGTACCTGAAAAAGAGGATAGACATCCGTTTAAATCTCATAAATACGTGACGACATCAATATAGTCTGGTCCGTGAGTACCTACATAGAATTTTGTCCAATGACCCCAAGCTACCCATCCTTATCGCTCGCACGTAATTATGTTGCTATCGCGCTCGCACACTCACTGCGGGTGCCAGTCGCACAGTCGCGACAGCAATATAATTACGCGCGAGCGATAAGGATGGGTAGCTAGGGGTCATTGGACAAAATTCTACGTACTCACGGACTGGGCTTTAGAAGTAATAAATTTTGCAATTACGCTTTTATAAAGCGCTTTTGTATGTCCCAGCATAGTTTCGCCCTACCACAGTGCTTCTCAGAAGATTATGGTCACTAGATGAGCTTAGGTTGTAATCTAAATCTCATAATGATTGTAATACATATGTCGGATTATAAAACGATTGTATGTCGAATTATAAACGTTCAAGTTCCATTATAATTGAAACTGAGAACAACGGGCCTCAAACGCGACTCGTGTAGTTACTTACAGCTGTTATTTTATAGCTGTTTTTAGTTTCAAATGCTTGTCACTTATTTCATGCCTTTCATGTCTTTCATACGTGTAAAAAGATACATATAAAAATGAATCACTGTAAATGTGTCAATAGGTTTGCTCTAGTTACCTTACCAGACATAGTAATGTTACAAAGCGATGATGCTGATAATCACTATCAAAACGTCTAAGTATAAAAAAATCGTTAATTAATCGCTAATCCGTTACATACACTGAAAGAGTGGGGGGGCGTCCTATCACAAGTAAAATTATTATTATCATCTAATAGGAAAGACTGATTAAATCAACGTAAGAAACGGAACACAAATGGATTACTTACCACGGCGAAGCATCTATCGTCTTGTTATTGACAACGTCGAGCAAATTGGGCAACTCTCCCTCGAACTCCTGCGGTATATGGTGATGTGCTATGAGCGGCTCGTTGTACTTCAGTTGGGTTGCAATCTGGTTCAGTGTTGATGTCTGGACCGATACACAGAGGAAGGACTGGCCATACTTCATGCCGGTTGTAGGGTAGTCGTACGAGGTCACGTTTAGGCCGTGCACTGAAATAGGAATATTATTATGATGTTTTGTTATGAGAATTAATAAGTAAGTATGTATAGTAATCGCGTTTGGTTTCCCTATAGTTATTTGAGTAGGTAAAACATTTTTTCGTCGATTCTAAAACGAGTCACATTTCGAGTAGCAACACTATTTTATTACGAGTATCAGTGAGAATGTTATGTTCAAAGATTGTGGTAGGCATTGATTTTTAATAAAAATATAAAATAAGCATCATGATGCATGGTGATGACAAATAGGTAGCTCCAAAACCACAAAATACGTTTATCAAAATATGTATGTGGTTTGATTGTTTCTAAAGGTTGCGTATGCGCACTGCGGTGAGAGAACGTCGCAATCATAATTACCTACTTATAACTCACAATATTGTTTATACTTTAAGAGCGTTTACGTCTAGCGTGGCATGTCAAGTTTAGGTAATTTCGATGCTATTTTTATTCACACTAAAATAATTATGACTGTGTGCGTGTTCTCACGCTCTATAGTCAAACCAAAATACTTTGATCCACCATCGTAAAAGTGTGCCAGGCTGTCAAGTGACAGCTCAAGGAAACTATAAAATCTTCAAATCTTCCAACACCGACTCCATAATTATAAATAATGGTATACATTAGTCCTAATCAATAATAAATACGTAAATTCTTTATCAAATAGTAAATTATCAAAGGTTTTTTTACTATTTTGAGAATATTTTATACAGCCTATGTTCAGCAGAAAAAAAATTGAATTTTAATGGTGAGAGATTTTTTCAAATCGGTTCTATTCAAAACAAACTTTTCCTGTTTACTATTCTTTTTTTATCCGGAAAATGCATAACATTTCATACCCACCAGCTGCGGGGGCAGCTAGTGGGTTATGTGGGGTTCTTCCTACCAGAAGGTGGGTAGCCCCTACACCCACTAAAAACCTGACTGTTTCTGCCATGATCCATATGAGTGATATGAGGGAACGCGGGACATCGCCATTGGCTGTTGCCTGTAGCATTCGTCCTTAGCCGCCACCAGACACCTCCATGTCTAGCGACCGAGGCCTGTTAGGAAGGGACAGTTGGAGACCATAAGCTGTCCTCTTGCGCCCAGGGTGTCGGCGGCGGATAACCGGAGTGTCGGCTGAGGCCTCTCGCTCCCCCTTTCCACTGCTTCTTTCTGTGAAAGAACACTTTCACAGAAAGTAAGCACACTATACCATAAGATTATTTGTCTCATCATATATTTTATACTAATGTAGATATTGTTTCCGAAAGCGAGCGGGTTCATTCCGTACCTGTACGCTTCATGCGTTCTCTAGCAAAAGCTGAAAATCAGTGTTCTGCCCTTTTGAGGGTAGTGTTTATACTGAGCTCTTTGCTTTTTGCATCGCTGCGGCACACATCACTCTGACGCAGGGAACTATTTGAAACGCTAGTCATCTTTATCTTATGTTGTTTTGTCACTTTTGTTATGTTGCAACTGTTGAAATTATTACTAACCTGTGTAACAAAATACCAGTGGTGTCACCTAGTGTGTTTCTTGACTAACTAACTTTATTTCGATATTGAATTGAATTTCAATAGCAACTATACATAATGTGTGTGTTAAAAGCATTAAAAAAAGTGTGTTACAACAAATAAACAATTTATCTATCTATCTCACGCCTCTTCCCGATTGGTAGGGAGAGGTCATTTCCAACCGCCGCTCGTTCGCTTAGGCTTAGGCTGTGTGTGTCAGTCTGCTGCGGTGACTCACGTGCCAAGACTGCAGTGTTAACTGACAACCATCTACAGGCTCTCGGCCTATACGGTGGAGGAATGGCCCGAAGCACCCATGGCCCGGTAGAACCTGGGTCGCCCTTTGTGTGAGGCGATCATGCCGTCGCACCCACTCCTCTAATACAGGCAGAACTGCCCCTATGGTGCGACGTAAAATTTGGCTGACGGCCCGGCGTACCCTTCAGCACTCTAGGGCCTAGATTCTCAAGCCTCTAGCTTTTGGTTTCCACCTCTCGTGGTGCACGTACACGTACATTTCCCCTTGGGACCTATGGTAGCTTTGTCGCCACTGAGGATAAATGGCATAAATAATATCGATTGTCACCAGTGGCGACACATACTTTCCCAGTTGTAGCTACAGGCTTTCTCACAACTTATGACAAATTAGAAAAATACATCCCAATTATGCCTAGTGGGGACGTACACAAATATTGACGCAAATGTCATCGTGCATAATATACGTAAAGTAAAAGTCAAGTAAGACCAGATGAATACAAATATTATTAATTTTATTTTGAACTAGCGGCCGCCCGCGACTTCGTACGCGTGGACCTCGTTTTACTCCTTAGTTCGTAAAATCTGTTGTTTGATATCATGTTGATAGATGGCGTTTCACGGCAGGCACAATAAAATATTTTAATTACCACGTGATCGCAAAATCTACCACCAAGATTTTGCGGTTACACTATAAAAGTCCAGCTACCTGTCAAAGATCAACGTACGCGTGACACATGTCAGCAGAGCACCGAGCGACGTGACCTCACTCTGGAACGCCTCGAGGCGGACTGAATTTGAACGATTCGTGCGCGGCGATTTATAGTACTTTTGAAATACTCATAGAAAAAAAATTACAATGAATTATTTTAAATTTCAAAGTAAATATTTTAGATAAGATATTCTTCTATTATATTAAGCTATTTTTGTGTTGAATAAAGGAAGAATATTGGTGAAAAAATCACTTTGATTTTTGGGTATTTCACGTTCTTTTAATTTGTGATTTCTTATTGTAAAATGCTTAAATCTAAAAATTTTCTCAGATAACTATTTGCCCAAGGATCTATGCTATAGGATATAAATGTTTGTTAAATCGTTTTCACAGTATTTTTATAAAAATTTCAGCTTGTAAAATGACGCTAAAGTGGAAATTTACAAAACCTGTGTGGACTTATCTTGATAGAATTCTTAAATACTAAACTAATCGCAATATTTTCTCAATTAACTATTTAGACGACGAAATTGCCTAACTATTTATGCCTATAACATATTTGTAGTATTACTGGTTAATGATTGTAACGAGTTGAAAAAGTACTGTTTTTGCGCCAAACGGCGTAAACGCTCTTAATGCAATTTTTTATGTTATTAGATTGTCATTTTTGTTTTCAATGTCTATCTACGCCAGAGTCGTTAGAGTAAAATGTGCAAATTTACTTACTGTCAGGCACCGGTGGAAACCTTGGCACAGAATGCACAAGCCACAGCGAGGTGAACTTGTCGCCAAGTATCACTCCCTTGGTGTGGCCGCTCTCCACCCGGGTCTTCATAAACTTGGAGTGCATCTTGCACATCTCTGCCAAGTCGTAGTCGTCGTAATACTTGTCGCCAAGTTTGAACTTTTTGTACTTTTTTATGCCGGCCTGCTTCGTTTGTCCTGAAAAACAGACAGACAGAAAAGCGACTCAGAATAGTCTATCTATACAATCTACCTCTATAGAGAAAAAAGATAGTTGAAAAATACATCAAACAAAACGAGGTGTATAAAAATGTATTTTCATGAAATCTTGCAACAACTTATTAAGACATAGATAGACAATATTATAAATTAAAGTAGTATTTACCTCGTTTGCTTTTGGAGTACATATCAGCTACTGACTGCAGAACGTCAGGTTGATTCTCAGTAGCTGGAGGCTGATCATTGTACACTAAAGATATGATATTTTTGTCCTGAAAATAATTTGAACAATTTTATTTTACATACCTCAGCAAACTAAGTACCTACCTACTTAATTACATTATTAGTGCTCAGCTTTATTTTCGTGAATCACGTGGGACCGGCAGAATAGAATAGGACCACCTCCACTCTTCTCATGAAGTTAAAGACTTCCTTTTGCCTCTGGTATATTAGTCAAATAAATTAGAGTGGATCGTCCAACTACAGTGATATGATGATTACGTAGGTATTTAATAGAAAAAATAAAGCTACACCTTTTTCAATATTTTACCTGATACAAAGGAGCCAAGGTCTTCCCGAGCATGGACCGGGGGTCGCTGATGGCCAGATCGGACATGATCCAACCCCCCCTAAGCTTGGAGGGGGTGAGGTGCATATACGCGACCCCCCTACGTACGAGAGGGTTCAAGTGATTCTTCTCCCGAGGCAGCTTGTAGATGTAAAACCTGCAAATAGTGAAGCGTATGTTTGATAACGAAGAAACTCCTTAGAGATCCTATCAAATGATACTATGTAATACAATTCACGGTCAGCTAGGAGATAATGCCACAAGGCATTAAGCTCGCCTTTTTGTACTGATCATTTTTATGTGTGTGCAATAAAGTCTTTAAATAAATAAATAATATTGTAAATGTGAATATTTGTGAGGATGGATACATGTTATTACGAGAACTATTTTACGCTTAAACCATTGGAGGAATAGATGTTGTTGCTGGTTTAAAATTAAATAAATAGATGATAATCATAAAAAATACAAACAAAATTTTAAAACACTTAAGTATTAAATTAATTTTAAATCTTGAATGCTTATTGTCCGGTCCTAGTAAATATTAGTTTTATATTGTTTACAGTTTACACACATAACAATTTGCTAAAACAAATATAGTAGGGGAAAATGTTGAATTGAAATGATAAATTAATAACAAATATGTAAATGTAAACTTAAAAATAACAAATTATCTGAAATGAAACTGGCCTTATACAAATATTAATCATAATTAATATGAAGAATTATTGTTATGCATCCTGTTTTTTGAGGTGAATCATTCAATCTATTCATGAATTCATCGAGATGAATCACAAAATATTCAGACAAAATTAGATGCCAATATAAATATTTCAAACAAATTAATTAAATTTTACTTAACTACTTTTATTTAACTTATTTTATTTATTTATTTACTTACCAATCCACCGGTTCCCCCTTTTCATTTCGGCACTGAGGCGTCAAGCTGGCTCCACAAGTAACAAATAAAGCAACAACTAACAACACAACGTAACACATCGCGCGTGTATTGTCCGCGAAAATCGTCCCGCAAGTAAGAAGGGCCGCAGGAAGTCGGTGTTACGATTGTTTATGATGTCATGCAATATGATCATAACGTCGCTGCGAGTGTCAAACAATCTAAATGTTTACACAACAATAGAACGGTTTCCTTCGATAAATATCCCTTCGAGACTTGCATTCATTCAAACCCGAAACGTGAATGATCAAAAACTAGTTTTCGTCCTTAGAAACCTGAAGCAGCTGCGCGAGCGGCGTTTTTGCGTCTCTTTCTAACGGTGTTACCTAGAAAGGGACGCCCGATCCTTTGTTTGGTGGCTGTTTATGTTTTCTATGACTGTTGGTATCACATTGTGATAACACCATGTATTACTGTTTTGGATTAGACGATGAATCATATTAAACAATTAGATCAAGTCTTTGTTTATTTGAATCTTATGCGTATGCACAGTATTGCAATAAGTGGGTACGTAATTATTAATGCGTACTAAATTATGCATCGTACTTTTGTTGCAATTTTTAAACGAAATAAATTGTTGTATAAATGTTATTTGATTAAAAATAATACATTGTCAGACACTTAGAAAAGAACTAGGAAAATAATAAAAACAAATAGAATTGATAAACACATTATTTATTATGCATAATTAACAAGGTGAATATTAAAAACAACAATAAACATACATATTGGAAGACTTCATTTACGAGTAGGCACAAATATCTTTAGAGTATAAAATAAATGCTTTATATCATTTCTACTTAAATTACGTAAAAAACAAATACAAAAATAATGGCAATTCCTGAGATGTTTACATACACTTATTATCTGTTGAATATTATTGTCTATGACAGTTCCATTACCTCCTTCAAATCAATTTCAATAAATAGTATTATTATTCTAACATTTTTTCAACCAAATTACTGTTGGGTGGGCATAGACACGGCTGCTTTGGTGTGAGATACGTCGCTCTGTCTCCAGAAAGACACGACTGTTTTCAATTCAGTGTAGAAATCAAGACCTTGTTTACCGCAGAAGTGGTTCGTTCCTAAGAAACTGCCCCTTGATCCGGAGAAAGAGAACATGGATAACGGGACAGGGATAGGGACATTAACGCCGACTTGGCCGACGTCGATTTCGTGGGAGAATTTCCTGGCGGTGGCTCCGTTGGTAGTGAAGATAGCTGTTCCGTTGCCGTAGGGGTTTGAGTTGATCATTTGTATGGCCTCGTCTAGGGTGTCGACGAAAAGGCAGACGAGTACGGGCCCGAATATTTCCTCCTTGTAACATTCCATGGAGGGTGTAACTCCGGTAAGGATGGTGGGGCCGACGAAGTTGCCCTTTTCAAAGCCAGACACTTTGACGCCGCGGCCGTCGAGAGCCAGTTTCGCTCCTTCTTTGACTCCTGTTGGAAAAGTTTTCATTTTTGAGATAAGTCGCATAGGATCAGAGGGATCATGGGAGATAAATCATAAGAAAACGACTATATGGGAACAATATTAATGTTATAAAAGGTTCGTATTACACGTCTTGAGATACGGGATCCATTATTTTTTTCAAAATGTCATAAAAATCTAAATGAATAAAATATTGCTCCCACTTTATCACGTATTTTGCTATATTCAACTTATAATACAATAACTAATTCACTACACTACATAACTGATATAAATTCTAACTAACTACTGCTACTACTAACGTTTACAACTGAGGATTCAACATACAAGTACTATCATATGACATGACATGATAACATAAAATTATTACTAACCATAATAATGTTATATTTCACCACCATTGATAACATCATCATTAAATGTTTCAATGAATGAAATGATAGTCTTTTTGTAACAAATGTAGCTTTATGAGGTTTGCTACTTGTGTTGATATTATTTCAATTCTGAGCGGAGTCGTTTTCCGTGCGGTTTCTTAGAATTATTATCATTATACCAAAATGTATTAATAAATGCATTCACAAAAAATACAATAAGGTGAATGCGAATTTGTTTTTACCCGACTGCGCCAGAAGGAGGATTATGTTTTTTTATCTTCCTTAGCTAAAAGACTCACATTCACGTGATATTAAATGGGTTTATGGAGACAAATATATGGTCTAATTTACTAAAATCGAAAAAAAATTAATGTCTGACTGAGATATTTAATAATGTAATTCCCAGTTGCTACCTCAAAAGGAAACACCGGTGGCAACTGGAACATATTTTTTTTTACAAATTCCAAGTGTCCGGTGATACCGGTGGGAGCAACTGGGAATAACCGCTGCTAATGATGATAGTGAATGACATTATTTTTTTTACAAATTCCCAGTTTCCCCTGTGGGGCGATACCGGTGAGGGCAACTGGGAATAACCGCTGCTAATGATGATGGTGAATGAAATTTTTTTTACAAATTCCCAGTTTCCCATATGGGGCGATACTGATGGACAAGTGGAAATAACCGCTGCTAATGGTCATGGTCATGATTAATTAATTTCTTAGCGATTAGAGTCGCTTCTTCCCGCCTTAGGCAGTTCGATTTTTTAAAAGTTGTTTAAAATTTACATTGCCACGATGATAGTAAGGGCTGATTTTATCTATTTATATTTATTACTAGCTTTCCGCCCGCGGCTTCGCCCGCATGGAATTTTGTCTGTCACAGAAAAACAATATCGCGCGCGTATTTGCTCACCGTTTAGACCTACCCTGGACTACGACAAACATTTTAAAACCAAAATCAGCTCAATCGGCCCAGCCGTTCTCGAGTTATAATCAGACTAACGAACATCAATTTTATTTATATAGATAGATAGATTACCTGACTCCACAAGGCGCAGGATCCTGTTCTTGGCGTTGGCAGATATGACGGGTCCGACGTCGGTGCCGGGCACGTGACCCGCGTTCACTTTCAGCGCTTGCGCACGCTGCACCAAGTCCGGGATCCATTCCTTTGCTTCACCTTTAAAAGAAGTGTATGGTTTATAGGCGAGTAAGAAGTTAGGCGGGAAGCGTTTGTTGGGCCCCGACTATTATTTTTCCAAACGTATGAGAAATAGCTACTTCAATACGAAGTTTGGTCAGAGTCAGGTGGCCTCCGATTTACCGTCAAACCCTGATATTGACTCACCTAAGAATAGGGAAGTGCTAAGTATCATGGAGCGCTGCTCCGCGGCCCCGAAGGCGGATCTAGCGAGCTGGTCTACTTAATTAACATTCCGAAGGCGTGAGATTTGGTACGTGACTATTCCCACCTCTCGTTCCCATCGCTGCAACTCCTATGTAGCCAGTATCTACACTACAGCTTGACCGCCAATAAAAACCCAACCAGTGCAGGTCAAGTTTTTCACAGGGGAAATTTAAACTGTCATTGGACGCGCAACGAAATTAATCAGAGAAGTCCAAAGTTTGGGTTTGACTTCCCTCCAGTGCAAAGGGGAAGACAGATGATAAAATGTTGAGTAAACCTTTAAAAAAGAGATTTATGCCCGTTTTCACCACCAATCCCTAATTTTTAAGTGACCCCTATGGTAACACATAACAGAAATTTCGTTTTCCCATGAAAATTTAATTTGTCTCTATGGATCACTTAAAAATTGGGGATTGATGGTGAAAACGGGCATTACACAACGAACAATAGGCATCAATTACCTATCTTGTGAGTTATTAAATTCAATTTGGGGAGCCATGAAACTTACCTACGAATACGGCAGTGCTGAGAGCCATGCAGCGCTGTCCTGCAGCCCCAAAGGCGGCACCGGCGAGCTGGTTGAGAGTATGCTCCTTGTTGGCATCAGGCATGATCACGCCGTGGTTCTTGGCGCCCATGTTGCTTTGGACTCGCTTGCCTGTGGAGTTAAAAAATAGATTATACAAGCATCTTTAACAATAACATGAGGGTATTGAATTGTGTGCCCAGAGTTACGAAAACGACCCAATGGTGAGTGTTCCTGGCGATGCCTATAAAAAAACTGATATGCCAAATTACATAAAAATCTGCAGACCTAAATGCGATAAGAAATCTTTATTTGCATCAAACATGGTATGAGGGATTTTTTAGATAATACCAGCGCAATGTCATATCTGATAAAGCAAATAATTTGTGTTAATTCGATTTGATAATTATTAGGATTATAACGTTCCACAAACAAAACACCCAAAATCATAGAGAAGTGGGCGTGGCTTTGTCTTTGCTTCGTAGTTACTATGCATCCACTTTAAGAGCCCCATCTGATTTTTACCCTCAGTTTTGGGGGCCCCTCTTCATATTTGAGATTTTGTTGTCTATTTCTACACAATGTCGTCTGTCGCAATAACCCTTAATAAGGCAGTGGGAATATATTCCCCACCATATTCTTAACCTTATTCCCTCATCTTTAATAAAGGCAATAAGGGTAGCAGGAAAGCGCTGGACGCAGGCCGCTACCAATCGGGTAACATGGAAAGCATTGGGGGAGGCCTATGTTCAGCAGTTGACATCCTATGGTTGAGATGATGATGATGATGATGATGATGATTCCCTCATCTTTAAGGGTTAAAAAACATCAACTTGCTCCAAAGAATAGTACTAACCTGCAGCAGAAGCGCGGTTGTAGATATGTTTGCCGGCCGCGTCTCCTCCTACGAAGGACACGGCTTTGATGTCGGGCTCGTCGCAAATGAAGTTCACTGCGTCGTGGGTTCCGTGGATGACCTGATATCAAATATGATGGTTATGAAATAGCAAAATTGTCATAGCAACGGGTGACAATATTATGCAAAAAATATTGGCGCATTACATGTGCCATCAAAAATGTTGAAGCATCATTTGGCTAGTGTTTGGAAGTGTTGTTTTAAATTGGCACGGTGTAAAAGTAAAAAAAAAGATTCAACGTATAACTGATGACCGTTAGGGCATAGTTTTCGAGTGGCGACCTCGGACCGAAATACGTAATGTGGGCACGCTTCCCACTCGATGGATAGACGATGTAGTGAATGTGGCGGAAATTAAACGCATGGATACGGGAATTTCACCACAACCGGCTGTTGTCAAAATCCTAGGGAGAGGCCTTTATCCAGCAATGGACGTCTTTTAGTTGACGGACGAATTTTCTATAAAAGTCATACAACAGAATAATAATAAGTACTACGAGGCCTGTTCATCTCCGCGAGTTTACATCGAAAACAAAACACGCACGATGGCCCACCTACAGGATACTATTCGACAAGGCCTCACATACGAGCGAACATTGACTCACGCACGCGTATTCTTGTGTATGATGGAAGAAAATAAAGAAAA